AAGTTATCAAGCGTTTATTTGATGAGAAGAATATTAATTTGAATTTAAAAATGGTGATTTTGACGTTAAGAAGGGTCAATATGAAGTTAACAAGAGTTAATTTGAAAGTAAAAAGGCTTCATTTTACGGAAAAATTAATTGGAATTAAAAATTAAAAATATATAAAAATATAAAAATAAAGGAACCTTCTTTTAATTAAAAAATTGAATAATTGAATATAAAATTATTGGTGTATAAAATAATTTTTAAAATTTTCATAAAAATCTCCAATTAATAGATGAACCATTGTTTTTTTAATTAATTTAATTTAAATTAATTTTATATGCATAATTTTTAATTTAAATTGTAATTTATTTTATACGTTTGCATGGTTTATTTGTTAATCCTCTATATGTGTCTAGAATCTCATGAACTCTTTATTTTTATATTTAATTGTATATGATTTGAAAGTTTAATTATAATTAATTTTCATATGGTATTATAAGAGTTCAATTTTTTATATTTAAACAAAAATCGCATATAATCAGGAATTTTACCATACATGTTTATTTTTCATTTCCATCTCGTGAGTCGTTTTTAAAGAAGTCGTGCTTGACAGCTTGGTCATTTCAGCCCCGAAGCACTAGCAATATACCGCTACACACTCCATACACAATCACGCTAATAAATACATTCATACCTATATACATTGATCGCACTGATACTGTTTGGTATATGGAGTACTCGATATTCCTCTATCTACTTGTTCCCTATAATAAACTAATCAAAATTGGGGTCGATGGGGTATTTTTATAAAATTCCGCCACCGGCCCAAGTCATACACACAACCTGAGAGGCGATGGAGAAGCCACTTCACCATCCGCCCCTCCCCATTCACAGCAGTAAATACATTCACTCATGCAAGACACAGAAACACAAAACATATAAATTAACTTCTATATACAATAAAAAAAACTCCATTAAAAAGCGGAATAGGGGACCCTGAAACTCGCTGCTGTGTCCGAGAACCCTCTTTAAATCTGGCGTCACGCCTACTCGCGCCCTGTAGGGAGCCGAGGTACGACACGCTTCGACTATGTGGGACACATCGAGCAACTTTTCGCTGCACAACGGACAACTGCGGGGGGATTGGCCCACCGCAAGGGCCCATGTGTCAACCGCGTATGGCCTATTCTTAATCTGGTAAGAACTATTCCTTCTTTAATGCTCGGGGGGCCATTTGCAGGTCTTGCGCTTAACAAGAAGAAGCCTATCGGATGACCCAGCCCACTGACGGTGCCATTTATCCCTATCATCATTTTTCAAGCTCGTTTAGCGTCAGAGGGCCTGATCGCGATGGTCCGGTATGGAGGGTGGGACGTCCCAGGTTTCGCCGCCGCGTCTGCGCGTTCGTTACCCTCCAGGCCGACGAGTCCAGGGACCCAGACAACAACTACCGTTCTTCCGAGGCAATCCATTCCGGCATATCTTTCTCGCAAGAGCGCTCAGAGAGTAGGTACACAAGAGAAAAGCTGAACTCTCCTCGGTCTGTACCGCTTCGAGAGCGTGCCAAACCGCGTACAATTCTGCCGTGTATAAGCTGCAGTGAGGAGGCAACGCACACGCCACACCATCGTCGGTCCTCGACCCGTCTGTAAAAACGAGACGAAAACCGGCGTATTAAAAATAGTTAATTTGAAATTTAAAATGTAAATTTGCAGTTAGAAAAGGTTAATTTGAACTAAAAACATTAATTTGCTGTTTAACAAGGTTTATCACAGAACAAAGTGTGGCCTTTCCTCGAGCTTGAAAGAGGTTTTGCAACACAGCAATGACAACAGCAAGAAAGTAATCAAATATCTGAAGCAAATAAATGCATATGGTCGCCTTTAATGCTTCTCCACACGTGGTTTCATTTTCCCTTCCTGACTGAGTGTATTTATTGGCGAGAATGTGTGAGTGTATGGGTGGGTAGTGGTCGGAATATCGAGTACCCCACAGACCCACCAAACTAGGATAGATATCTCTTTGTGTGTTTTTGGTAGAATGAATGTATTTATTGGCGCGAAAGTGAGTGTGTATGGGTGGGTTGTGCAGGAATATCGAGTACTCCACAGACCCACCGATTCAGATTAGTATTAGGCTATAATATCTTTTAGAGTAAATGGGCGGAGGCACTGTTGTAATATTAAACGCGCCAGTGGCTCCGCATTTTTTAATTTGTAAATACAGAATGATTGGTTACTGTTTGAGTGAATGTATTTATTAGTGCGATAGTAGTGTATGCATGGGTGGGTCTATGGTGGAATATCAAGTACCCCATAAACCCACCAACTAAGTTAACGTTTTAGATTAAGTGTAATTTTAATTGTACATAATGTATGGATGTATTTATTAGCGTGAACGAGGGCGGGTCTTCAGAGGAATATCGAGCACTCTGAAATCCGCCTATAGGCTAGGCTAGGATTGAATGTTAGTGAATGAGATAGTCTCAGAGCCTTTTCACCACGTGTGGGAGGTCTAAAAATGTAGAAATAACGTCCCAGAACACAACCAGAAAGATCGCCAGACTTCCTACAGAAAAGCTAATTAAAAAAAAAGTAAATAAATTTATAAAACGTGAGGTGGAAGAAATTTCCCCGGCCCGGGGAAAAAAAAAAAAAAATACAACATCCAAATGAAATTCGCAGAGCAAACACGTGTCATGATTCGATGATTCTCATATTCCATGTAGGAAAAGAACAACGATTTCCTGTTCTACCGCGATGTCACTTCGCAGTCCCTTGGCTCTTTATAAGGATAGTAAAGATTCGTACCGTTGCATAATTGCGAGCCCTGTCCCATATTTATCCGTACAAACGACCAATTAAATCCGGTCAGAAGTTAATAAATGAGAGACGCGTCCGCCGCTGAGAAATCGGCAACGGAAATCTCACATTTTGTATCGTTTATAATTACAAATATAGATTGTTTCCTCGGTTAGGCGCAACTGGCCTTCCAAATATGGCATCAACTATATGTTTTCAAACGTAGAACAAGTTCGTAATTAAATACTCTCACCGAAGCCCGTGTTGAAAATCTCGAAGCGATTTCTTGACACGAAGAATTTCAATTTAATTCTAAATCAATTGCATTTTTCTCACACTGAATCGTTTTCATTTCCTGAACCTGATTTAAAAAATTGACTGCCTGACGCAAATCATTTGTTTTTATTTTTGTTTTTAGAAATTCAAGCCTTTTCCACATTCAATATTTTATGCTGGTTATAAAAAAAAGAACTGACCATATTTTACACCCTTTTAATTTAACTGTACCCTGTAATAAACAACAATAAATTAATAGCCCTCGCTGGACATACATATTTCATTTATTTTACACAATCAGAAAGCCTTTTATTTAATTTGTTTGCTAATAATTTTTCCCGGATGAAGAACACCTTTGAATGTTAAAAACGGGAGCTTTTAAGAAATGTTTGGGATATGGTATAAAGCCCTAAGGTTAATGAAAACTTTTAGACAATAATGGAGAATGCACGATACAGAGCGCGGTTTCCAAGGTCGTTATAGGTCATCCTAGTTACCTAACCTGACAAGTTTCCAGAAAAATGAGATTCTCTTCAGTAATGTATACAAAACCAAAAGACAAAATTGAAAACCAATACCAGATACCACCATATTCAAAAAAATAATAAACAACATTCAAGATTCATGATCATGATGGTATGTTAAGGACCTTGCAAAGACTATACTCTAAAAACAGAGATTTATCGCAAAAAGAGATAGTAGACTGTTGAAGATAATCATAACGATACGGTCTCATAAAAATCGAAGGTTTTATGGAAGGTTCAATCATTATAAGAACTCGAACCTGTATCGTCACATCTTAACTCCTATTTTGGCAAGATGCCTTTCTGTTTAAGGATGAATAATGGGCAATAAAAAGAACAGTTATTTTAATAGTTGGCCTAGGAAGTCTAGAAATCGTTTGTAAGAGTATGTTCTGACAAGCAGGAGTTACTGGTCTTTAATTAGCTGCCAATCGGCTGGAGGTTTTACAATGTACCCATATAAACCGAGTGGGTGATGGTGATGAAAGGGCAGAGATCACGTTAATTATGACTTTCAAATCCGGTTCAGCTCAGCTATGCATCCGGCTTAATGAAATAATTGAAGTGCGTCCGTAGAAGTATTCATTTAATAGGATATTCTGTGAAAATATTTTTAAAATGTAATAAGATGTGATTTTTGTACTGATAAATTGCGTGATACAGTTTAAATATTTCAATAATGATGCGCCTTTTACTCGACCGGTTTAGAAATTTATAATGACCTCTAAATAACTTTGTTAAAAAATTAATTCCCTAAAAATAATCTACCGTGACACCACAGCTCATTGGCCGGATTCAACTTTGGCCCTTGGACTAATAGTCCTCGCTTCAAAGTGAATGTATTCCAGGACATAACCACGCAATAAAGTTCATTATAAGACTATTAACAAAAACCTAACGGTGGAATTAAACATATTAGGAGTGATATGAAAAGGAATGGAGCCTGCATACTACAAACTCCGGAGGCATGTCAACTCGGAGCAGCAGAAACAAGGTTGTGCAGACCTGTCCAGGAAGTAAGAGAAACAGTAGAAAATTTCCTCTGTTGGTGCGAACGTAGGCTGCTCTTACTACAGAGAGAATGCATTTTTAAGCGTGACTGGTTAAGTGCGTATCGATCCAGTTGAATTCATTCATCCGTATGCTCGTTTTGGTACCAGGTAGGCAACCGATGAGGCCAATAAAATGGCCAATGAAAGTTCACCTAGAACATCTATCCGTTCCGTTTCCTTCGCGGCATATCCAAAAACGTAGATCAATTGATTAAGAATATCAGCCTCTGGTTCAATGGTATTGTATTCCAGGACAGACACTTGTTAAAAAGTTTACCAAACGACCATCGTAGGAACGGTAGAACAATTAAACCTAGTTCGAGTTAGGGCTGCTGGCGTGACACTGCAGACTCCGGTGGCATATGGAGGTAAGCTTATAAAGATATTTCCAGGAAAAAAAGAAGCAGCAGAAAATTTCCTCTGCTGGTCCGAACGCAGGCTGGGATTCATACTCTTGGAAGAGGAGAAGCATCAAAGATGTGTGAATGTATTTATACGCGTGGATGGTTAAGTGTATGTTGTTATTAATATTAAAACTTCTGTCGCTTTCCAGGTTTTAATTGTTTAAAAGACAATTAATTAAGGTTTTTAGTTGAGATGAAAAAAAGCTAATGGCACGAGAGGCATTCGAACCCACGACCTTCTGCTAGATACGCCGCTGCTCTACCACCTGAGCTATCGTGACCTCGATCCACTCGGCAACTCCCCATCTCATCGTGGGTTCGAATCCCTCTCGTGCCATTAGCTTTTTTTCATCTCAACTAAAAACCTTAATTAATTGTCATGTATTAATTCGTCAAGCGGACCACGAAAGTAGTGAATTAATTATTAAAAAATGAAGTACACTTCACTAAAGCTCTCCGTCGCCATTTCAATTGTCGTCGAGAATCCAAACCGATTACACGACATTTGAAAAATGGCAAAAGGAGGGAAAACTCATAAGGTGGGGTTGAGATGGGGAGTTGATGTCCGAGTGGATCGAGGTCACGATAGCTCAGGTGGTAGAACAGCGGCGTATCTAGCCGAAGGTCCTGGGTTCGAATCCCTCTCGTGCCATTAGCTTTTTTTCATCTCAACTAAAAACCTTAATTAATTGTCCTGTATTAATTGGTCAAGCGGACCACGAAAGTAGTGAATTAATTGTTTAAAAGGTTCGTAACCGGTGTGATTGCATTTATTAGCGTGAATGATGGGCGTCGAGGTTACGAACACTCCGTCTGTCTTTCAGCTGTGGTTTGTACATAACTTTTATATTAGTAGGGGGTGGGTCCTCAGTGATATTTCTGGTACTTTGAGTCTCGAAATATTGAACCATAGAGCTATGTGTGGTAAATGTTAAATATTAGTTACGACTCAAACTTCTTAAGTACCATTCATTGGATATTCTTGCAACACCTGAGTTAGAAAATATAGAAAGAGACATGACTAGAATAATAGAGCCGGAAATTTTTTTATTCATTTAAAGCAAATCTTTCTGTGAGATGAAGCGCACCAGTTGGATCAAATGTAGCTTAACTCAGAGTTTCGTTTTTCTCAAATTCTCAGCTAAATTTTATCAAGCATCGTTAACAACTTTGAAACTCCCAACTGATTTTCATTGCCAAAATACCGCCCTATTAATGTTTTATGAGAAGGAAAATATAAATAAAAAATTGGGTGGGCGGAGTGGTTAGAACAACGTTACGAATAAGCGCCACGTTAGGGGTCCTGGGTTCGATTCCCGGAACCATACCTTATGGATTTTTAATTTGAATAATATGAAGAAAGTATTGTAAGGTAATTTTAACACTGGTTCAAGACACCCAACGGATAATTATGCCGTAGGCCCTCCTGTATGACAGGAATTACTTATACTGCTTTGTCGCTAAAGATTGGACAATTATAAAAAAAATATATTGTTAATTTGCCAAATTGACCTGGTATTAATTTCTATTTTTTGATAACTTACAGGAGTTGCTGTCCCGATTGTTCCAGTTGTTTGATTTGGACCGGGACAACCAATTGGTGCAGGAGGACTGGATTGAATTCTTGAAAGAACGACTAACGTGAGTGTAATAACTTTGTACCGTTTTCATATCTAACAAAATATCTTCTGTTATTTATGCCTGCTAGAATACAAAATACAATTTGTTTAATTAGAAAAAATACAAAGATAAGAAGTTAACCTCTAAGCCAGCTGGACGTTTTTTTCTTTATGACTGAATTTGAATAAATTTGTAATAGATTTCGTGTTTTTAATCTACATCGCAATTGTTAATATGTTAATATAAGAATTTACGAAATATACAGATGCCAAGGATAAAAATTTCTAGGTTCATACCTTATTTCTATTTGATATTATGGACCCAGAGACAGAAAGAAAGAAAGAAAAACAAAAAATCTCATATTAGTGAGGGATCTAGTGTAGCAAAACCTGACAAACCCGTCAATAAAGCTTCTTCCTACCGTCCAACCAGCTTACTTTCTCTCTTCTCAAAAACATTTGAGAAGATCCTTCTCAGACGATTGATCCCTACAATACACCCCCCAACTTTCAACCAGATCACCAGTTCGGCTTTTGTTCTTAACATTCCACAACCTTGTGGACCACATATCGTCACCCCTTCTTGATGTGACTCAAACGTTTGATCGCGTGTGCCTGAGGGTCTCCAGTGCAAATGAAAACATTTCCTTTCAAATAGCTTGAATCTAATTTTTCGCTTCTAACTAACGATTCTTCTGCCAAGGATCTGACTATAAATATTGCCCTGTGGGAGCAGGAGTGCCACAGGGCAACGTGCCCGGACCAATCTTGTAAGTCATCTTTACCTCAGATATATTGAATACACCCTCCAATCTTCTAGGTTCCTTTGCCTACTACTGAGCAGTGCCATCCTCAGATCCTGATCCCACATTGCTTCGGAGGAGCTCCAGGCCACGTGTTGAGAATAGCCGACCGGAGTAAATTCTGACGTCTTATGATAAATGGAAGCAGATGCACCCATAGTACATTTACCCTTCGAAAAACCCATCATATAATATTCCTTAATAATACTCCTAACCCAAATACTATATCCGCTACCTCGGGTTCTATCTCGACTCATGTAGAAACTCGAACCGACATACACGAACTAAAAGTCAATAATTAAACAGACGCTTCTGACTACTATACAAATTATATCAAGAACAACACGCATATCAACATCAACAATAAAACCTAAAATTTTACAAGACACTACTGAAATCGATTCGGACCTACGGATTAGAACTATGGGGCACCGCTAAACCTTCCAAAATCCAAAGAATATAGTCCTTCCAATCCAAAGTCCTCAGAACCATTGTCAACCCTGACCTCCAAATACAATTTGTAAAAACCCTAATCCCCAACAAATTTTCCACATTCCATAAAAACCTATCCTCACACCATAACCATGTAGCCTTAACCATGGCCAACATTTCAGCGGAGATGGCCCCGGGGACCTCTTTACTTAAATATTCAAAAGCTTGGAGAGCAACAACGGTTGTTGACTCCACTCAGTATATATCTAAACGATAAAATCTTTATGTATCTCATTATATAATGTATATTATTTGTACAGATGGTAAATACATTAATAAAAATTAAATAAATTGATAAGCTAAGTTCTATTAAGCTTTGTCATTTTATAGCATAAGGTACTTTTTTATTAGATCCAATACAGTTCGTGGTCCGATTGACCAATTAACTTTTTTCAATTAATTAATCTTTATGAAAGGTGTGGTGATTAGTGACCGTTAATCGATAATTATTCAGAAATCGTGAGATGCGGTCTGGTGTGATGTAGGTTTCAGAAAAACATTTTCTTTATCGTGCCAACGTTTCGATCTTTATTGAGATCATCTTCAGTGTCGGGTTGAGAGTGCCAGTGAGATATTGCTGTTTTATTTATATACGTTGGATTTTGAAGGAGTGGGGAAGGAAGTCGGGATAGAAAGACATTTTTATATGAGGGGTCGGTAACGGTTCTTTCAGGATTATAAAGACGGGGATAATTAGGGAAAGGAAAGCCGAATTGTTGAAGAATTAGATTATGTAGAAATGTTTGATGTGTGGAATGTGATGATTGTTTTATACGTTATATTATATGTTTTGTGTGATGTGATCATGATATATGTGTTATCGATATTTGATTAATGATATTGGCGTAGCTGCGACTGAGTTTACACGTGTCTGTTCTGTAATCGATGCTGTGTTTATCTCTGTTGATATAAACCATTTCTAAGAAATTACGTTTAGGTTTGTTTTGTTCTGTATGTAATATTTTGGGATTTTTGAAGTCGAAATTGTGTTGGTGTTCAAAATGGTGGGTAGCGAGTGCTGTCGGATTTTGCTTGGGTTTTTTGCAATCATAGATATATTGTTTTACTCTCTTGTCCAGATATTGGGATGTAAGACCGATGTAAGTTGCCGGACAGTTGAACAGTTGATTTTGTAGATTACGTCAGATTTATTTGTTATTGGTGTGGGATCTTTAATTTTGGAAAAAAGTGTTTGGATTGTTTTATAATTTTTGAAAGCTATTTTGAAGTTATCGGACCAGAGAAATGTGTTTAATTTATGTGATAGGCCTTGAATAAATGGCATGGAAATGTATGCTGGTTTGTTTGTTTTTGACAGACTTAATGTAGTATTATCAGTAATAGTGGATGGTGGGGCGTCGGTGGCCGCAAGGTTTAGTCGTTGACACGGCGCTCATCACTGTAAGGTAAAGGTCCCGGGTTCGAATCCAGCGGCCCTGCATTCGAACCCGATATACTTACAAATGGGCTTTTTTTCAAAAACACCGGCACCCTGAGGGTTTATATGACCTCTGCTGTTGCGAACCCTCGTTAAAATAAAAAAAATATAAAAAAATAGTGGATGGTGTTAGTGTTGAGTTGTAGTTGTTGATTATTCTGTTAATAATGTGTTTAGGGTAGAGATTGTTATGTAGGATCTGTTTGTATATCTTTATGTTCTTGTGGTAAAATGATTCATGGCTTAGGGTAATCATTCTGTGAAGTAACCCTTTGGCCGTGTTTATTATTGTATGAAGAGGATGGTGAGATGTAAAGTTGAGGTAGCGATCTGTGTTTCTTGGTTTTTGATACCAATCTGTGATTAATGTGCGATAAAGAAAATGTTTTTCTGAAACCTACATCATACCAGACCGCATCTCACGATTTCTGAATAATTTATGAGAGGTATTGGTTGAAAAAGTTAGTGTCACGAACGGGATTCGAACTCACGAACTTAGGTTAAATACGCCTCTGCTCTCTGCTCTAGCGCTTGAGCTATCGTGACTTCGAACCGTTCGGACACTAATTTCCCATCTCAACCTCACCTCTCGAATTTTCCCTCCTTTTGCCATTTTTCAAATGTCGTGTAATCTATTGGATTCTCGGCGACAAATGAAATGTCCACGGAGAGCTTTCGTGAAGACATACTTCAGTTTAATTATTAAATCCATTACAGTTCGTGGTCCGATTGACCAATTAACTTTTTACAATTAATTAATCTTTATGAAAGGTATTGGTTGAGATAAAAAAGTCAGTGACACGAGCGGGATTCGAACCCACGACCGTCGGCTAAATACTACTTGAGCTAGCCTGACTTCTTTATCTCAACCAATACTTTTCATAAAGATTAATCTAATTGAAAAAATACTTTTTTGTACTAAAATTATTTCGAAGCTGTTTAACAATTTACTAAACGCCAATTGAGTGAGCCTTCAACCACGGGGGTTTATTTTTAAATGAGAAATAAATCTATGAAAAAAACGATATGTGATCTAATGACCGACGTATCGGATTTTATGAAAGCTCAAGTCTCGGCTTATCGGTCCAAGATCTCCCACTAGATCATTTCTCCTTTTGGAAGAAAGCTCGAGCCCTCCAGGAATACTTGAACTTTAAACGTTTCTAAACATAGATATGAAACCTGTACCGAAATTAATTTAAACCGCTCCTTTGATAATTTATTAAGGATTGAAAGAATAAACACGGGGCGTATACGTATTATGAGCGTAATACGATATTTGTCTTGTTTATCTTTTTTTTGTTTTTTTCAATGAAAAATCGGCTTTTCAAATTTCATTTCAAGTTAATTCCTTACAATTACATAACGGTTTTAGTTTTTCTTCAGTATCTCTAAAGGGGAAATACATTTATTGGGAAATTGACCACCGAGTATGATTTACACTGGCTAAAAAATGTAATTGTTGCGCTATAATTAAATTAATTAAACCCTTAACTTTATAGGTTTAGGACAATTGTAAATGACGATGAAAGCCAGTTCTCGCTGTTCATGTCAAGACTTTCAACAGAACGAGAGAAATAAAATGTGGGTGAAAATGGCCCAAAATCATTTTATATCAACTTTAACATTTAATTATATTCAGTCTAAGCGCCCAATTTAACGATCTATGTGTAATAACTGACTGCACCTTGCACTTGTATTTGAATGGGAGGATAATTAAACTAAGATTTAAAAAAATGCTTTGAAAAATATAGTTTTTTTCCATCACATTAATCCTTTCTAATTTCAAATTGACCATTTTTCACTTCAAATTAATCCTTTTTAACTTCAAATTAATCTTTTACAATTTCAAAATAACCCTTCTTAACTTCAAATTAACTTTTTTTTACAACAAATTCCTTGAACTTGGAACACGACATCTCTTACGCTGTTGGGAAAAAAATTGTCATTTATAGATAATTCTCGTCAAAATTAACACATTTATTAACGTCAAATTATCCTTTTTTAACTTCAAATTAGCCTTTTTCGTTTCAAATTAACCTTTCTTTATTTCAAATTCATTAATGATTTTTAAAAACCTTAGAAGATGGTATGAAGTATTAGCATGCAAAGTAAAATCCTGTATATTTACGATTTGTTTATATAAAATAAATGGGATCTTAGAAGACTATTTATCCCAATTGCAATTAATAATAATATAAAATTAAGAATTTATTTTTTAATATCAGATAAACTTACATTTAAAAATAACAATAACAAAAAACAAAATAACAAATGATACTTCTAGTA